TCTCTCTTTCAGGCAGTGGCAAACCATGACAATTAGAGCCAGGCCTTCAGTTTGGGCAATAAATGTTAAAACATGGTCAAAAAATGAGGAAAAAAGAACACCTCTATGATAATGCTAATTTCTGCTAGCATCCCTATGGGATTCTAATAGTATGTTAGCGCTAAGCTAACAATGATTCATATGAACATTTTTTGATCGTTATAGATTAAACACAAACATATAAAGCTTGTAAAAAACATTCAGTATTTTATTTGAAGCTTGTAACAGACATATTACCATATTTTTATCTTGTGGACGTTTTACAGTGAAGCTCTCAATAAAGAGCTCTGGCACAAAACTGCTGCTGTTTTCTAGCACTAACAATTTACTGAAACCTGGTCGCATGTTCGCAGTCAGTGATGTATTTAGGACTTGAAGAAGGCCTAGAGAGATGTTTTTTTCTCACAAAATTGCTCCCACCCAACAGAAATCAAAACTTAGGTTGATTCCTCTGTCAGTTCCTCATTATGTTAATGGTTAATCTAACACATTAGTCTTGATCTACTTAAGGTGGTGCTGTGCAGACAGATCTCCACCAGGCTCATGTGGTGCATTCCGGTTAGATTATTTGTGCTACTTACATTGGCACCATAGGTTACCACAATCACATACGCCGTTATAATCTCATGGGAGCAAGGCAGTTGCGGTTTTTAGAGCCAGGCACCACAGTTGCTCACCACCTGGCTGTGCGAGCTTGATGACGACAGAGCTCAGTCCTTATTGGCTAGAAGCTCAGCTGACAACAATATAGTCACAAACTATGGTGAATACAGCATGTAGTCTATTAAAATGTTTACTGTTTGTCAGTCTTTTTACATGTGAAATTCAAATTTAGATTCTTCAAATAAATTTGAAGTCTGATATATGAATGCCGTAAGAGCTGCCAGCAAATCTGTCTGGCTTTACAGCTCTATTGTGTGCTCCTCCTCCAACTGCAACCAGCTAATCTCACTGACCACCAAGGCAAGATGCAGTTTATCTGGAAAAAGGCCATTAGGACTTCAGTCTAGTGCATCAAGGTCTAACTAATGGGACAGCTCCCTTGGCTGTATCTACCTACACAACACTGAGAAAAAATCATGATTGGACAATTTTCTGTTTGGCGTTTCAAGAATTAAACCCATCACAATGAAATAAGAGTATTAGTGCAATACATGTAGAGTTTAAATACAACAAACCTTATATTAAATAAAAATGCAATAAAATTTTTTATTTTACAGAAACGATCAGGCCTTTCTCTGAAGGTCTAGAAGACCCTGAGGGTTTCCCACTGCTTTCAAGACATTTCACCCTCACTACATGTTAAAGTAGTATCATAAGATCAAAAGCAATTTCAGTTACAAGGTTTTTACTGTATCCTTCCAAATTAGCATCTGATGCTCTGATCATGACAAAAATTGTGCATGGTAGTGATTTTCTTAAGCAAGGCCTATAACGTCTGTCTTTAATCTATCAAATGCCAGAGGCTGAAGTCAGCATGATTTCATCACCCTGGGCTTGCATTTTAAGGCCTGTTGACTGCTGGGAACTTTGATTATTGTTCCAGTGAATTCATGAGGCACGATCTTGTCCCGGAACACAGGTGCACTGTCACTGTAAGCCTTCTGACAAGCATGTGCACTTGACATGGAGCTCCTGTCTCATTAGAGAAAGCTGCAAGAACCACAGAGATGGCAGCCGTCTCAAACAGGACACTGGATATCAGTGGGCAGGCACTGGGTAAGGGGGCATCCTGATGCAAAGGAAATAATGATGTGTTCTCTACGATGGAGGCAACTTGACTCCTCTGTGTGATGGGATTGCCATAACGGGCCTCTACGAGGCATGATAGGCATCACCCAGAAAGCCTTTAGACAATGAGACATCTCTGACTCAGACACACTAGGTGTGTCTCATTCAAGACTGTTACTAGGTAGGACGCGTCCTTAGCAGCAACAGTCTAAGAAGGAGCCTTCTGAGAAGTAAAACAAAACGGGACAGGGCGTGCAACGAAACGTGGAATGTATTTTTGATAGGTGGGCCAAGGCATAAATATACACATATACAACAATCTTATACATGTTCAAGTAAGCATTGTGTATTATAAGCCTCTTTAAGGGGGATTTTATTCAAAATTTCTGCATAAATAACTCATTAAGATGTAAACAAAGTCATTGAGTGTTCTGATGTGAAATAAGATTCTAAAGCAGGGGTGTCCAATCTTATCCGCGAAAGGCCTGTGTGGCTGCAGAGCACACATGATCAGTTTTTATGACTGAGAGTGACTAATTAAATGAGTGGAATCAGGTGTGCTCTTCTTGTTTGGAACAAAAACCTGCACCCACACCGGCCCTTACAGATAAGATCCCTGTTTTAGAGAAACTTACTGAGTCAGAATTGTTCATAATGGGGGTGATAGGAACCAGATGTCTTAATTGTTTAATGCCCCTAAAATCTACCTTACAGAAATTTATTACATGAAATGGCTATGAATGATGAAGTTGGAATCATTGCTTTACGATAAGGTTTTGGCCACATTTTTAATATCCAATCATGGTGGAGAGGTATCTGCAGGGTGCTGTAAGGCAAAATAGCACACAAAGAAAACTTATTTTTTTCAGATATACCAGCATTTTATAATTAACATTACATATAAAAAACTTAGAAGACACATGTAGGTTCACTGGTCTTTTTGGATAGTAAATAAATGGCTGGATTTGTGATACAGACATCACAACCTCTGGCTCCTACTAAGAACAGTGTGTCCATAAATGTTTCTCTTCAAAGTGCAATTTCACATCACACCTCTCTGAAACAACTTTAAAAATGTACAATTTTAATTTAACTCCAACTTTGAGTTTCAAGAAAAGTTATTGTTTTTCTACGGGAATGAGATCCTATTGCGTGACTTAGGAAGGTGAGGGAACGAGATAATTAAGCTGTGGCCATGACTTAGTAAGGCGTGGGAATGAGATAATGCCTTATTAAGCTGTGGTCAAGGATTAATTTTCTAAAGTCATGGCCACAAATTATTTTTATTTATATGGGTCGTCACCAGCAGGGCTCCGTATTTTTCAGCACTTTACTCTTTTCATTATTTTCCTACATAACAGAATGTATTTGATCTGTTCTCAGAATCCTATGTTATTTTGGTATATAAGTGTACAAGCACTTCAATGTGTAGCCGAACAATGACTCCTACTAAAGCTATAGAGTTTCTTAGGGCCAAAAAGTCAGTCAATTGACCTGAACATCACTGAGCTGCAATGGAGGACAGAAAACATTTGCTGATATCTATGGGTGGATATCAGACAGTCACAAGGGCCTGCAGATAAACATTAAACATGTTTTTATTGAAGATGTTTTCATTGATTATGTTAATATGTCTGAAGTCATGTTTTCTGAAATTGTTTAAAAAATGTATGATTGTTTTGTTGTGTTTACTTTTTATTAAGATGCTTTTATTCCCTGATTGAAATTACTGCAAGTATTAATTCTCTAATTCTGGTGAGGATTTTAGGTCGTTTACATTCAGATATTCATTTAAATACATCTAAATTCTGCTGTTTAAATGAATGGTTCAAAACATTCAAATGTAGTTTTTCCCCTTTATCCCAAATGTAGTCAGCCAACATGTCTTAAAGTGGAAAACTTTATATATTTGAATTTTTGATGAACCACTGTTGGAGTTCATTTCTTAATTTCAAATCTAATGTGTAACATACTGAGCCAAAACAAAAACTGCTTCACTGTTTACTTAGCAACTACACTGTACTCAAACCACTCATCCATTCCTAGCTTCAGACAACAGAGAAAAGGTCTAGAGTCTGAATGAAACAACTATAATGCATAAACCTACACAGAAAACAATATGAAAGGAGTTGAGGTTTGCAAGATTCTGAGTGGAGTTTCATTGCAGTTATGTGCAGTACAAGCTTTAAACACAGGGTACAATAGCTGCCAAGATTGAGGATATAGTAGTAGTATAGTAGTGTTTTTCACTCAAAAACAATTCTCCTCTGATTGCCCCACAAGGGATCACATATTTCCAAGTAATAATTAAATGGATGCTTATCATAAAGAAAAATTGTTAAAATTAGTCATTAAATCATTAAAGCAATTAGTCAAAATGGCCACAACAGCATCACTAAGATATGCAAACCACAATAATTATGTATGGTGTAAATGTTGGATGATGTATTATTATTATTTTTTTTTAACTCAGCATTGCATTCCATGACATTCAGGAGTTACTGACTGGAAAATTAAAAAACAGTAATTAATAAACAAAAATGAAGTATCTGTGTTCTGTCTGCATTTCATACTGGAAACCAGTATTAGAGTTACTATTTATGTTTTAACACAAATCTTAAAAGAAGCATGGCCAATGCTGATTTATTAATTATTTCAAATTCAGCACCCATTGTGTAGCAAGCACTTGTTAGAAAGACTCTGAAGAAGAACTAAAGAAAGCAGCTTTTACAAACACTGAAGTTCCTGATAGAGTCCACCTTGAAAAGTAGAGAGAAAAGAGGAAAAAAAACACATACAACTAAACTCAATCTTTCGAACACTGAACATGTTAAATGATAAGCTTAGCTTCACAGTTGTTCTGGATTCCTGTTTGGAGAGCAGAAGTTGAACCAAGCAGGTTTATATAGTTTTACACACACACACACACACACACACACACGCACACACACACACACACACACACACACACACACAATGAGTTTCAGAAGAGCGAGGAACAGTGCGAAATAAGTACCAGATTAAAGCAGGAGTCTGTAAGTAATTACTGCCTTAAGTATGATATCATTTTTGTATATAATTTAATTGCAGACAATCTTACAACAGCCAGTTATCCAATACCAGATAGTACAGTTAAACCATCTGTATCTTATAATTTAATTACTACGCACTGTGACCCTGCCATCACACTGTAAATGAAAACATTACATTAAATGGAGAGGCACCATCATCTCCAAACGCAAAAAGCAACAAACCAAACCAGCAATGAGTGAGAAAAGATGTTCCTCACTTAGAGAAGAGTTCCATGAAAACAATCTGACAGCTTTCAAGACCTGCATATGGGATCACTTAGTTCATTACATCATAGCATATGGATAGAGAACTACACGTCTACATCAAACTCCAGTTCATTTTCAGTCACTACTGTCCACCCTGTCCTCAGGTTCATCAGGCCTCTCCTGTTCAGAGGAATCTGAACTTGTATCTTCTTTGGCATCATTTACAAACGGGTCTTCTCCCTGCAAAAGATACAAAACGGACATTAAACAAGTAGTATGTGACAAACAATAGTATGTGAACTCTGTAAAACTAATCACCAACAGATGCTATAACATCTATTTTTTAATATGATTTATTCATATTTACCTTTATATATTTTTCATAGCGCACTTTGACACTGTTGTTGTTTATGATAGCTTTGGCTGTAAGCACGCTCTCCCTTTTTAGCTGCTCTTTGTACACCTTTAGAGGAGATAAAGAAACTAACATTCATCCAACAAATTCACTGAAGCTTTTTTGGACTTTTGGCGTTTTTACAGAACAGTGAAGAGGGTCTGTACCACTTTGCTTTTTAAGTGCATGGGAGAACTGAGATGCTGCTGTACAGAAGTGAAGAATGCAGGAATGTACATGTTGCAGGCCATACAGTGCACCACCTCTACCTTCCTCATGTAGTCATCCTCAGTCACCCCTGTTAAAGACAGCCAAAGAAATTACATCAATAAATGTGAAGGGCAAGTGTGAAACTCCCATCCATATTCAGCCCTGAAAGGAGTGCAAAACATATCAGCACCAGTCACGCCTATGTTCTATGCAAAGTTCTTTTACAAAAATCAGTGTAGTCAGCAAGTGCAGTAGTAATTTGTTGGTTTGCACCACACCTCCCCTAAATATTATTTACTAGTCAAGACAGTGAACCAACTTGAACAGCATTTTATTTACTGAAGACAAAAATAAAGGCAAAGAAGCAAGCAGAAACTGAAAACAGCTCAATTACAGTACTAGCAGAGCATCAGCATAGAAGAAAACCTCCATTTGGTGATATATATGATCACAACTTCAGGCAGATTTCAACTGCAAAGGATCTGCAACCAAGTATGTTACAGATATGTCCATTCACTTACTCGCCTGAAATGAGGGGGGCTATATAAAATTTGCTGCAGTTTTTATATGGTTCAACCAATATAAAATCTCAAATGAAAGTAGACATTTTAGCTTCAGCCACTCTGAATTTATGGATTGCACTGTGTATATGTATTCTGCATGAACATGACTTCAGTGTTACATTTTGAATAATTTTGGTTAAGGTTCAATGGAACAGATACCACTTCTATGAGCAGCCAATCTCCTTTCAAATTCTCATTCATCAACAATATGCCAAGCTAAACAGGAAAAGCTGCATGAGTGCTATCAGACAGCAAGTTCCTTCATCCAGAATGCATACAGCATTATGAAAATGATAAGAGACACACCTACGCACTAACCTGGCCCTCCTATAATACCACTACTAAGTAAAATCACATCTTCACAAAAAGAACTCATAACAGTGATTGTAGAAAACAAAGGAAAAATCATACCTTCCATAACTTTCTGGTTTATTTTCTGGTCAGAGAAGGTGCGCAACTTGCATAAAGCAGACACTGTTTTATGAAACTTGTGCACCATACAATCCTTTAACACAAAAACGGAAAAAAATTAGTAATGACTTCACACCAATGATCACAAGAGACTTCAAAAGCAGCAGACTTACATGGAGAAAACTAATGACCCGGTCATCAAACTTGGCATGCCGTCGAATGTAATCTAGAGTTTCACGGTGATATGTGCCTCCGAAGTGCTTCTCAATATCTTGGTCTTCAAATGTTCGAAACTTACAAAACGCACATGTGAAGGCCAATCTAAAAAGAAGAGGCAGAATAACGGCCCACTGTAAACAACGGAGGGAGCTTCAGGGCGTTTAAGCAATAAACCATGAGAGGCTGTGCTTTACTGTGATTATCACAGGGAAGGGTATTCTTAAGCACGATGCAAAGAAGGGTAAAACCCCCTTCTCTGTTATAAAATCGCTGTAATTCACAGCCTCAAGTGACACTGCTTTTTCTAAAACGAACAAAGTAAAATAATTATTTACGGAAAAATTGTGTATCATTAATTATAATCGACATAAGTATTCCACCAAGAATTGTAGATCCTGTGTGTGGTATTGTTGCCAAGCAACAATGGACGGCTGAATGAGAAGAACGTTGGGTCACCCATCACTGTACACTGGGCCATTTCATGAACTTTAACTTTTTGTCATAATAAATGAACATAACATAGCAATGTTTAATGCAAAAACCTTCACTTTAAATACTATTTGGTCTCCAAATTACCACCTTCATAATTTCTTCAGTCTCATGGGAAGACCAGAAAAGACAGATAAAGCTTCTAATACATTTAACTCCGCTTTTACATTTAATTATTTATCCAACAGTTGTCAAGAGTGACTTATCATTAAACTTACATAGACAGACAGCCCCCCAGGAATGACTTTGTGCTCTCTAGTGGCTCAAAAACAAAATGGCAACTTTCATAGCCAAGTCTGAGCTTTTACTAACTAGCAAACACAGAAACCATTTCACAACTGAAAGTGTCCTGTTGAGATCCACCCAATGTCACCTGTGCTTGTCCCCATATTTCTCACGGTTCTTCTCTCGTCTGCGTCTTCGCTTCTCTCTGACTCGAACCTTCTTGTCCTCTGAGGATAAAAACATGGGAAAAAAAGTATCAAACTCATTTTTTCTGGGGAGAAAAGCACACATTGTCTATAAAATCATTCTAGTGTCCCCACTATTGCATTACTTGCTTCACATCTTAGCATTCTTAGGTGTATAAAAATGTGTATTTTTTAAATGAGAGATCTGTGCTTGACATTATATGAAAAAACCCCAAAGAGCTTTTACTTTAGCTCAGCAACTGTTACACTTCTGAAGTAAATCTATAATAAAGTTAGAGCCCAGCAGCGAGTACATACCACCTTCTGTGCTCAGGTCCTTCCCATCAGAAGAAATATGATGGTGCTTTAGAAAAAAGGAACAAAAAAAAAAAAAATCATTTACTTATGTAGTTTGTCTTTTTGTAACTGAACAATAAGGGTAAAAGCAGTCATTGTCTCACCTGAGTCAAATTCAGTGCTGTGGATGACAGACAAAAATTCAAAGTTAACACTGAACACTACTGTAGTACAGAAGATCAAGTTTTAAAAGAATTCAATAACTTAAAATTGAGAAAAGCATAGCACTAAAATTAAGAGAACCATTACTCTTTTTTCTTGCAGACACACCTGCACCAATTCCCACGTTAGGAGTCGTTCTGACAATCCTCGGCTTCTTGACAAACTTGCTTGGGTACACTGGCGCCATCATCTTTCGTTTGGTCCCACGGAACACTGGTACTGCCACATTAGAGTGGACGTTCTGTATGCTGACAGCACCCCTCAGCCCACAAAACTGATAGACAGAAATAAGCCTTTCCTTGGTGTGTATGTTTGTCAAAAACAAATGTACAAATAAACACACAAACAATCCAAAGTATCTTTTTAGCTTGTGAAAGAATCCATTTAGCACAAGCTAAAGTTGAAGTGTCACAATAGCAATTTCCTTTTATACTTACACCTCTGCTTTTTGCTCTGCATTCTGCTGCGGTATCTCCTCCTCTCGCTCCACGCAGGTGCTCAATGTACACAGACGTAGCTCTGCCACGGGAGCCAATGGGTGCAGGCCTTGTGTATGTGGTGGTAAAGGATGTCGAAGGGGCAGAAAAATCATTAAAGGAGGAATATTCACTTCGGCCGCTGTCTGACAGTGGTGACCTGGACCTTCCAGAAGACTTTCGATTAGGCAAACGCCAACCTAGCATCATGTCATCGGTCCAGGCCGCAGAGTGCACATCATATCCGCCATTTTCGTGTTCATTATTTGGGGTTGCACAATCAAAAGATTCATAGGCACTGTATCTGGTAAGAGAGATTAAAAAAAAGATTACAGTGAACAGTCATCAAATTGCATTCTTCCCAAAACTCAAACACACGTTCAGAACAAGTCCACCTCACCCAGTACAGCTGTCTGTCTCAAAGGTTTCAAAGGAGTCTGATGATCTAGATGGAAACAACCTAAACTCTTGCCAACTGCAGGACCTCTCTAAAGAAAAGAAAAGGGTACACACTTAAAGATGGTTCTGCAATGGTTCTTTAGTAAAGGCAATGGTTCTATTTAGAACCATTTCATGCTTAAATGATTATTTGCATGGCGAAACAGTTCTTCAGATTGACGAAGAATGTGCTGTATATAGTTCTATATAGAACCTTTCTGAAAATGCCTCTATATAACACCAAAAAGGGCACTGCTATTGTTACAAGGTCAAGCTTTCACGTTCTCCATCAATCTGAAGAACCATTTCACCGTTAAAGAACCCTTGAAGAACCATCTTTTTGCATATACCTCACAAATCAAGAAGTGGGATGTTTAACAAGTGATTACAACAATGTTTTACCTGTATTCTCAGATGCTGACATTAATGACAGATCTGCATCTGCGAAACTTAAAGATTTCAAGCATGTCATTTTATATTCAGACTATTATAAGATTACATAGAAAGTCTTTGAATCTGCCAGCCTAGTCATGCTTAAAACACGAAAAACAGCAGAACCTACTTTTCAAAAACACCACGCGATCCTGGAGCATGTTCAGAGAACCGTTCTCTTGAATCTCCAGAAGTCATCGTGCTAAAGTCTTGGGCTAACAGAGAACAAAAACTACTGCGTTATGGTGATTGTTGCTGGCGCCCTCCATATAAAAGGGTGGGCCAGTTTCTTACCCACTAACCTAAGACTGGTCAGAGTGTAATCACTATTAACATACGACTCATCAGACAACGTTAACGAAACTAGCGAGCACAACAAAACGAAGGACGAGGAATTGCTAAATGCTAAACAGGCTACGACTGAGCCAGACGCCGCATTCTAAAGGCCTTCAGAGAGGTAGACCTGAAAGAAGCAGTTAGCTTTGTTTTAGTTCATCCCATTTCACAGCTGACCAAAATCTCTAACGGGTTTCTGATTAGTTGACTGACATCAGGTGTGAGAGCGGAAAACACACAGAATCCGGGCAGGGCTCTTCCTCACAGAACACGTTCAACTGACGCAGGACTCTTGACTAAGGCTGCGTCCAAAATCGCACACTACCACGCTAAGGAGTATGTCAGAAATAAGATTTTAGCTAAAACTAAAATAATCCTCCTTTGCAGTAAAATAAAGCTCTGCTGATCGGTCGTTAACGCTGGAATTAATGTATAACTGCTAATTCACCCTTAACCCTGAATATTGGCGCTCAGACTGCTGGTCACCATAGCAACATAGAAGACTCTCGCTTAGCTATTAGTTAACAAAACGGCAAAGAGATTTAAGACGAGCATCGATGATTTGGACACGAATGGAGTTATTTGCATTTATAAACGCTGCAGTTGGTTTCCTGATACGTTTAATCTGCAGCGAAAAACTGTAACACAAAATCGCGAAGCTGAAGTGAGTTTCTCATTCGCCAGCTTCTTGTTTCAATTGTCCCGTTCCACTTTAAATGGTGCAGCAGTTACATTCTTGCGCCTCACGCACCATTTAAGGTGGAACGGGACAATTCAAACACGAAGCTGGCGAATGAGAAGCTGACTTTAGCCTCGTAGAAAATCAAATGCTAAGAGACATTTTACAAAAAACTAACTCTATTTCTGCAGAAGAGTTTCCTGCTGAAGATGCGAGAAAAGCGGCTATAACTGACCTACAGCTTAAAGCAGAGCAAAGTAGCTAAGTCTGCGTTTTCGTTTATATTACGTATAGTAAAGTTAGCATTTAGTCTATACTAGTACATTAGCACATACTGACAGTAACGTTACTCACATAAGTTATAAGTTTTGTTGACCCCACGCGACACAACACCACCAACACAAACACCACAAACGTGCAGGGCGGAGAGGAACATGCAGGACATTTTAAGGAAAAAATAGTACCTAAGAAGATCACTCCCCTTTAATGGGGGCGCACTAAAGGCAGTATGTGATTTTGGGCCCAACTATAGAACCTAGTAACGTCACGAAGGAAAAAGGGACCTGAGGACCGGAGGGGTCCTCTTAGATCAGCCGTTTCAAGGTAAGAGCATTGTCTCCATTTTCCACACATTTATCTCTTATTTTGCACTTTAGACCACAGTAACTCCTGTCTGCAGTTACGACCCTTCTTAAAGCTCAGTATGTGATATTTAATCAAAATCATTTCACAAATAAAATTGAACACCAATTTAACATTTTTAAGCAAAGTCATTTTTCCTGCACGTGTCACCCAATTTGAGAATAGCCTAATTAGTTTTGACCAAAGTGTCACTGGTGTTAATCGTGTAAGAGCTGTTAACTAATCCATTAACTAATATGCACATATAAAGCCAATCTGTACATCAGTCATTTCTGAAGGGCATTTGATCATTTAACAGTTCCTGCTTTGGCTAAAAGGTTTTGTGTTCCAGAAGAGCAGCTGTGTCGTCACTGATGCCACACAGTGTTGTTGGTGTTACAGTTCTCTGTTCTCTGAGATTTTGGTAAAGTAAAGAGTCTTTGGATCTGTATTATAGCTTTTTCAAACCTGTATTGATCACTTTTTACCACTGGCCATTTTAATGAAAGAATGCTGTATTTTTGCTACAGGGACTTTTTAACCAAACAATGAAAATTAGTCAGTCCTTTTTGTTTCAGTTCACATGAAAATTTAATTAAGAGACATTTCATTTTTCAGAAAATAACAGCTTTCAGTGTGATAATGCCAGTGGTGTGCATGCTTAAATCTCGATTTTTTTGATCAAATATATGAAACATACAATGCACATTAAGCTCTGTTTTTATTAAAAGTGTTAAAAGACAATATTGAAGAATATGATAAGGTATTTATGTTTTAAGAATTCATACATTTAATTTTTTTAAATAATCATTCCAAATGCCACCCTGTTTGGAGAATAACCCAGGTTGGAAAACTGTAGAATAAGATTTAGAATGAAACTCCGACTGAATATTATTTGTGGATTTAGAGAAGCAAACAAGAGGTTGTGCTGTATTCTGGAAGTTTTTTATTAGGGTTTTTTTTGGTGAAAACCTTATGTGAAATCTGTAGATGCGAATGATGTAAAATTAAATATTGGTTTATAAACCCTCAACGACAAGTTTAGTTATGTTGATCTGTGTAAATTTACAGGACTACATTGTAACGGTAATGACATCGTTGCACCGCAAGAGGGCGCACATGCATTAAATTACGGGGACCATGGCCGTGATACGTCGAAGCCAAATGGAGTCGAACGGCTGCCCCTGCACAATCTAAACACACAAAGTAGAAGAGTCAGCGGCCTGTGTGACTCCTTTTAGTACATGTTCCTTGATGATCAGTTATCAGTCTTAGTGTTTCTGAAAGGAACCCAAGCTAATTTCAGTGGTCATTAGATTCACATTCATATACTTTCAGTCAGATACTTAACCTCTTTATAATGAAATACTAGGCATGTTTTTGGCAGCCTAGTTAGTTACTGATAAATCTCAACAAACCTTCAGTTACACCAATGTGCTATTCATTTATCAAACTTTTTTTCATCAAGTATTGTCAGTGACACACATAGACAACCACCAAACTTCTGTCTGGTGAGGCATAAAATTAGCAGGCTATTCCCTCCATGCTTGCAAAGGGAGCATGATGATTTCAATAGTTATTTAAAGAGACACGAAAGAACTAAATAATTCAAATCTTGAATCAAAGTGATCAAAATCAAGACACATTCTGTATTATTCTGAATTCTCTTATTCTTACTTCTTTGGTAGTGGTGTTGGTGGTGGACTGGACTCTTCCTTTACTAAAGTCAACATGAATCAAAAATCATGGTGAAATATTATTGGTTAATATTAACCACAGTGACTGGCGACCTGTCCAGGGTGTATCCTGCCTTCCGCCCAATGACAGCTTGGATAGGCTCTAGCACCCCACCGCGACCCAGAAGGATAAGCGGTTTAGATGATGGATGGATGGATTAACCACAGTGATGTAAACAAAAATTAGAGATGTTTTTGAGGTGGGCAGAAGTTACAACACTTCAATTAAAGTTAATGGTAAATCAAGTATTTTATCTTTGAAATCGTCAGTTATGATGAACCGTTTTAATATGACCAGGGACAGAACCTAACATGGTAAAATGGTCAGTTTTAAATTCAGATGGACTTTAAAGAAGAAATCATTTAATTCCACCATTTTTTTTTATTCAGAGTGTTCTGATGTGAAATGCTGCATTCTGAAGAAACTTACTGTGTCAACATTGTTCACAGTGATGGTTAAGTGACCCTTATAAGTCCCACAATGGGGAAATTTCACCTCCGCAATTTAACCCATCCGTGCAGTGAAACACCACATGCACAGTAGTGAAGACACACACTAGGGGGCAGTGAGCACACTTGCCCGCAGCGGTGGGCAGCCCTATCTGCAGCACCCGGGGAGCAGTTGGGGGTTGGGTGCCTTGCTCAGTTATGTACTGTCGGCTCAGGGGATCAAACCGGTGACCTTCCGGTCGCAAGGCTGGTTCCCTAACCTCCAGCCCATGACAGCTCCCAGACGTTGGGAACCAAACGTCTGAAGAGTTTAATGTACCTGAAAGTGGCCTCCCCAAAAGTTATTACAAGAAATGTAAGAAGCATGCGATTATGAAATATGCTGCTTGATGTCTGAGACACTGTTTTGTGATAAAGTTTTGGCCTAAAATGTATTTTTGGTGAAACTTCACTGGTGGTTTTGGATAGTGATAAAATATCGATATCTATATCAGTGATGTACACATCGTGACCTCTGGTTCTTAACACCACTAATGTAAAGAAAAACCATTCGTTAGTTTTCCACATTGAACCATTTCATACTTTATCCAGAGTATGAATTATGTAGAAATTTTGAAAAATTGATTAAAGAGTCACCTTGAGGGTCAATTCAGAGTGATGGAATAAACAGCACATATAAAACCAGGGTGATCAATATCCCTCATCCTGAATCCAAGATGGAAAGTGTTGGATTTTCAGTGTTGCTATGGCAGCAGCTGTATTGGCCTGCTCTCTTTCAAAAAGCCAAAGGCACATGATGTGTTTCTCCCAAACTGGCCTGTATTTACTGACCACTTGTAATTTAAAAATGATTGATTTTAATTTCACAATGCAGTTAACTGTGCTCTGTCCACTTTTCAATAACAATGTGTTTTATAGTGGATTTGGATAAGATTAACACATTATATGTCATGAAGGTCATAAAGTCAGATTAGTTTAGGCCTACATGCTTTTCTGCCACCAACCTTTGAGTATGTACTTGTTTTTTCACTGATAGGAACTTCTGTCCTTTCATAACCAGCGCACAGGCAAAAAGGCTCTTGGGAAACTTGTTGCTCCATGCCTGCAACAATTTTGCTTCACTGAAAAAGCTGTTGAAGAACTTACCAAACCCTTCGCTCTCTTGTTATGTATCTTGACTTGGTTTCCACACACTGTATGATGGCATTCCCACAGGCATGTGCAAACTGACGTATACATTTCAAAGTAAATATTCCATTATGAGCAGGTGTGTAGGGCTCATATTGGAAATGACCTTTAGCGGAGCTATTGATTCTGGGGCTCTAAGCAGAAAACTAGAGTGGAGCCCCCTGGATGCACATTTTAAAATTAGTTGATGCTCTGGGCTCCTGAGTGTCACGACTATCTACACTGCAAAAATAATATATCATGGAAAGTGAAACCATCTTAAATGTAGAATGAATGCAATGAGCAGTGATGTGAGTAACATGATCCCATTACATTTTGACAGAAGTGATTAGTAATTTGTGTAATTTTGAGTAATTACCAAACACTGGAGCTATCTATACTAACATTAGCATTATGTACAGTCTGCTGAGCCTATGCAGCACTCTGTTCTGACTGAAAAGGAAAGTTTTCTCCATAATGTAGATTATCGCTTATCCATCTTTACGCAGCTGTGTCATAATTGCATTGAGGTCAATGAAAATAATCACTACAATTACAAACATCAGCTATTTTAAAATGTGTGTATGTATATGATTTGGGTATTTATACTGTACACGCCCTTGGCTCATGGGGGTCCTCGGCAGATGGCTACCTTTGCCTAGTGCAAAGGCCGCCCCTGCCTTTACTCACCTCAACTTCTACAATCTAATGCCGATTAGTTAACAGTAGTCAGGCAATGGCTCTATTTAGAACCAAGTGTACTATTTCATGCTTAAATGGTTCTTTGCATGGTGAAATTTTTCTTCAAATTGATGAAGAACGTGTTGCATATGGTCCTATATAGCACCAGAAGGAGTTCTGCAATTGTTACAATGCCAAACTTGTAACAAAAACCTTTTTTGGTGCTGTATAGAACCGTTTTCAGAAAGGTTCTATATAGAACCATATGCAACACATTCATCAATCTGAAAAACACTTTAAGCATTAAATGGTTCTATATAGAACTAATGGTTCCAATAGAACCATTGTTTTTACTAAGGAACCCTTGAAGGACCATCTTTTTTAAGAGTGTAGATGTTAGAACACTTCTGTGAGGATCTTGACTGCATTCAGCCACAAGAGCATTAGTCAGGTCAGGTATGTTGGATTATTGGTTCTGGATCACAAACGCCACTCCAACACATCCTAAAGGATTTCTAATAATGAAAAAGCACAGTTCCATAATTTTGGAAGCTTCTCCAAAATAAATAATAAGAAGACACCATCTTTAAGAATGTGCCATTTTATTAGACCAAAAACAATGAAACTACAGGGACAGTTATTCAAAATATTCTGACTGGCTTTTGGCTTTATTTACCTCTTTATTAAAATATCATTTCAGTCTTTTTTTTTGAAATGGTTCTGCATAATTATCTTGCAGAGTGATTTTACATAAACTTGATATTATTCTCTGATCTCAACTGATTTAAATTTGTGATTCAGTGTTTAAGTTTTAAGAGGAAAAATCGAAGCAACTGCAATTCTCCTGAAGCCCACTGTGATGGCGTGAGACAACAAACTGGCCTTTATAATGCATAGAGAGAAGCTGAATGATTAACTGCATGCAATTTGGAGGGGTTTGGTGATGCAAAGTGATACTTCAATAACTGACCATTAATTTGGAGTACCTTATATGATTTGTTTGAGGTGGTAGACTCAGTGCTGGGCAAACATTGTCTGTACAGGTGTACCATGATATTGCTTTTCAGTTTTATGATATTCTGAGAAATATAGTTAAATAGTGGCTTTATAGTCATGATATAACTGCAATAACATAGCTGCATTCATTCAACATCTTCAACCTGGTCCTGGGGGCTTCTGGGTGTTTTTGAAAAGAACGTTTTAAAATCCCTAAAATGAATAAATAAAACAATAAGTTTTGTCTGATTAAAATACACAGTACTGTGTTATTTTTAAAAAAGGCAGTACACAACAGTCCAATCAAAACAAGCTATTTCAGGTTTGTAAGACATTCTGTTAGCTCAGGGAAGCAGCACTCAGGAATAATGAGTTCCGTATTATTAATGCAAACCTGAATTTCATCTGATACGATTATATGTTCAGAAAATATGATATTGAATTTCATCAGTACTGCCCAGCACTTGTCTTGGAACATCCACAGGAGACATAGTCTAGTGAATGATACAGTATAAAAAGAGAAGGGCTTTGGTGCTGCATTGATTCTGCTTTTGGGTTCATTTTAGAAGGTCCACCTTGCCAAAAATGGAAACTATTTGTAATCAGGTATACTTTGTTTACATTTGATGCTTTTTATACATTAAGGCTTCTGATATTTAATAGGGATAATCATTGATTACTCATATTATTTAAAGGGGCTGACAACTCAATTGAACATATTAAAAATATCAATGATAATAAAGATGTGACTTGATGATCACACAATCCACAATTGATCCATTGATCCAATTGACAATCGAAAAATCCTCTTATTGTGGCCACTTACAGTGTGGCCATGGCAATGCAAAAAACCCCACACATAACAATAAACCACAAGAGGCTGTGCATTACAGTAATTTTACTGTGGTTAAAGTCTTTTTCTCATGCACAACGCTAGCTAGCTAGCTTGCTTGCGCACAGGTATTCAGGCAGGCCCAACAACAGAGATTTTGGTTTGAGCCAAATAGCCAACAAGAAATCTGTCCTAATTCTGATTGGTACAAGAAAAAAAATGACCTACTTCTAATACAGTCTCGCCCAACTGAAATCCAACTAAGGATACACAAAAATGCAAGAATGTCTACATTGAAGTGACCAACATTGTTCTTTATTTGACAGTTAATAGAAAATTCATGCAGAAGCCTAAAGAGATTAAGGAAAAAGGTCGACAGCCCCTTTAAAATAACACACAATGTGGTTCTATAACAACCACATTTATCGAGTTTTTGTTTTTATAGTAAGAATCTCACACCTGTGGAAAATCTAGTATGTTGTGAATGAAATAAGTCAGGTGCTACTAGCTTGGAGCAGGATTTACTGTTGAGGAACTAGCTGATATGAAAAACAGAACAATACAGTTTACACAGCGGCATAGTGAAAAAGCAGAGTTAGCAAAATTAACAGTAAATTAAAATGTAGATTTCTTAACAGTAGTGGCAACCTGGAAGTAGTAAGCCTCAAGTTTATTCAACTGTTTCAGTAGATATTAAAAGAGGACAAGAGTGAGGAATGTGTCTTAATTTCAGCAACCCTTGACAACAACCTGAATCTTGCAGGATCATCTTCAAAAACTGACTGCATAGACCCTCATGCATCAGAATCTCTATATGTAGTGTTTATAAAATGCCTGTTAACTGAAGAATTAAATTGTTTATAAAGGAAGGAGTTTATAAAGCACAGGTTTTTTGATTTCCAACTTAGAGGAACCAGTACAGTATACAATTAATACCATTTTTAGCAGATTTTTAGACTTCATACTGGCTAATATGGCAGTAGAAGAATAAATATTAGGACAATAAAATGGAGTTTTGAAAGCAGCAAAGACCTTATAACTTGTGTTACTTGTGTTATACACAAATAATTGTTGAATCAGATAACGAGCCTTGCTTCCCTGGTTTGTGACTTGAGATCCATGAATCAATACAATCGGTAACTGCACCACAACATGGGGTGTACTGTGCGGACACCAGCTAGCTAAAATACAAAACGTGAATACAAAAAAATGACAGACTACAGAGGGATTAGCAAATCTGCACAGCATGTTGCTAAGAAATAAGGAAACACAAAAATGTCAGCATTGTATCAGGATGTACCTCTATACTGAAATATAATGAAACCAAAAAAAAAAAGAACATAAAAACCCAAAATAAAGGACAAAAACAACTGTATATGAAAATATTGCAAACTGAAAATATTGCAAATATTCTAAACTTGTGACCAGTTCCCTGGCATCTTTCATACTCATGTCAAATCAATAAGCATCGTCAGTCAAGTGAATATTTCTTACTGGCCTTTGTGTTCAGCTGTTTTCAGAAACCACAGGATCGACTCGCAGTAAATATGCTTGTTAATTGTAAAGGAATCCATTTGGTACCGAGCCAAACCTTTACCATCTGCAAGGAAAGCATTGTGCCCTTTTGTTTAGTCCCATTTTGTATGAATAACAAGATCTTGGGCAAAGTGGAGATCTAGTTAAATCATTCTCTAATCCACTCTTAGATTCCATTAGCAAAGGTAACATTGGTTTCCTGATTTATGCTCTCTTTGACCTCAGAGGGCAGGGAGTCAAACAGGTGGTCTTCTATGACGAGACAATTTCGACGCAGGAGTCGGCACTGGCCAAGCTGGGCTGGGAGGCGGTCCAGACAGTTTCCTTTCAATTCCAGATGTGTCAGCTGCACCAACTGGCCTATTTTCTCTGGCAGGGAAGAGATACAGTTGTGCCCTAGGCAAAGGGTACGCAGCTTTGTGCACTTGAACAGTTGCTTGGGCACCACCTCCACTTTGTTTCCTGTGATGGCAAAATGCTGGAGGTTCTGGAGGAATCCTATCTCTAGTGGGATCACCACAATGGAGTTGTGACTTAAGTCCAAATATCTTAGCTTAAGCAGATTAAACAAAGGGGCAGGCAAGGACTCCAATTTGTTGTGTGACAGATAGAGGGACTCCAGGTTCTTTACATGGCTTATCGACAGTGGAATGGTGATTATCTTATTGTGCCACAGTTTGAGGCAGGTAAGCCTTTTGAGGTGTTGAAAGCTGATGACCTCCTCAATGGTGCGAATATTGTTTGATTTCAGATCCAACTCCTGTAGATTGGTCAAGCTAAAAATGGCATGCGGTATCCTTTCCAGTTCACAATTATGCAGCTCCAGATCAGAAAGGTTCATCATCTTTTTCAAACTATTCAAAACCAAGAGTTTAGTACCATCATTGTGTACCACAAGCTTGACCAGATGAGGAGCCAAGTCTGTTATGTTTGTCGGGATCTTGGTAAGGTTGCTCTTCAGGTGTAGAACTTTCAGATGCCTCAGGTCCCTGAGGGATTCCAAACCAATCATTTTGTTATTTTCTGAGTTCAGGTTTCCCACCAAGTAGAGCTCCCTCAGGTTCTTTAACAAGTAAACCCAAGTGGGGATCTCTGCAACGTCCGTAAACTTAACGTGAAGGCACCGTAGGTGGTCGCGGAGGAAACTGAATGCAGTCTGCTCCACTTTAGCAGGACAGTGATAAAAATGCAGCTCCTGGAGGTTGATCATCTGGGAGATTTTTGCCGTTATCCGTGCTTCAGGGATTAGTTCCAGCTTCAGTATCTCCAGGTCAGTGAGCTCAAACACTGCATCAGGAACACCTGAGAGCATAAACAGATGGAGCTCTAACTTGTCCTGTGAATTGCGAGTCACATGCTGCCGTAATTTCTCAAACGTCCACTCATGATTCAAGCTAATTTCCCGCAGCTTGTTCTCGCTGACCTCAGAGAGAAAGACACCGAAGCGTTTAGAGTACAACTGATCGTACTGATCTACCATATGCAAGAGGAAAGCAAAGTCATTCTTTACATCTGGAATGTCACTAAAGCTGCTCTCTTCTCTTACTTTCTCAAATGAGTACTCCTTGAGGGGCCGCCTGAATAGCCAGAAAAGCGTGTGAATGCATACCAATCCATAAACACAAATGAGAGCAATATAGCTAATAAGCAGCTTTTTCAACATGAAAGCCATGTTGTGAGTGCACTTAAATTTGATGTAGCCAGTTAAATGCTTTATGTTCGGTTCACAGTCATGGTCAAACTGAATGGAGGCAACGAATGTCGAGGTGTAACACAGAATCAGAATAAACTTGAACGTCTTTATTACTGTTTGTGCAACATAGAGTTTGTAGATCAAGTCACTGTCCTCGACATGTGCACGGAACTTCCTCACTTTCTCAAAAAGGGCCTTTGCCTGCTCACCATCTTTCTTATCCAGTATCGTCATGCTTGGGACTTCAATCACAGGCTTCTCTGTAGAGAACTTAACGCTGGATTTTGCAAGCATCGGTGTGGATTGATTTGGACTTCCCTCTTCACTGCTGGTGGAGAAATGCTTTGGTAATGAAGGAGCTCCAGTCAGTCTTTGCTTATTCTCTTCAGAGTCTTCACAAGCTGTCTCGGACAGTGCTTTAGTGGTCCAAGGGGACTCGAAACATTTCCCCAAAATAGAAACAAAATGCTCAATTTTTGAACTCGTCTTTGGATACTTGAACCAGAAGTTGCTGCTGACCATGAGCACAATAGTGTGAATAAGCGCAAGATATGGAAAGTACTTCGAATACCAGGGGAGGGCAACATGGTAGCACATCTGGTTGACAAAGACATACTGCTGAAAGTCCAAATTTGTTTTCACGCCCGTTGGCTGAGGCTGTCCGACAGCAGCTGAGTGAGGGAAGGGGACAACTGTTTCAGGTTGGTCTTTGCTTGTAGGTGCAGCTGTTAACGTCACTTGGTTTCCTCCTGTCCCGATGCCAGAAGCTGTTTCTGGTGGCCTCTGTGTTGTGGAGGAGTCCTGCCACGAATCCAGAACAGGCAAGCAGACTACCTGGTCTTTGGTTAACTGCATTGTCCCAGCAAATATTGCCACCATGAGCATGACAATGCCCAAATAATCCATAAACACATCCCACCATGGTTTCAGTATTCGATAGGTCGGCTGGATGTCGTTCAGAGAGGCAACTTCTGTGAGGGTAAACATTCCTGTAAGAAAGAATGAAAAACAGTTGATTAGCATGATCAATTACCATAATCGTGGATTAGCTTTCTAAATAATAGTGTTTGGTAGTTACATGATATGCAAATTATTTGAGAACTTCTGTGTGAATGGCAGTTGGCAGTAGCCTGACAGCAACCTGGCTTGGCAGCACTGAAGCAAAGCATTGCATGGTCAACTCAATATTTGAAATATTCAATATCAAAAACTGTTCTTGGCAACTTTTGGCTTTGCTCAAGAAGAAATGAAAACTGAAAAACCAGTTCAAAATATCTGTGTCGTATCAGGTACAACAGATTTATGCAAATTAAGGTTAGCCTGTTACTAGCCAACATATCACAGTGTTGGACATGTGTGAAGTTATTTGGCCCAGCAGATGTCTGACCATAACACTTTTTAGCAAGTTTTTAGATTTTTTTTTTACTTCTTTTTCCAAATAATGCACACTGGGTATAGGGCTGAATGATTAATCGCTTTTATATTGAAATTGTGCTTTAGAAGAGGCCAATTTTCAAATCGCAAAAGCTGTAATTTAATGTTGTCTTAACAATTTTAAGTGGGACAATTTAACCTAATAACACAGAAGTTGTCAACAGGCCTTCTGGCATATTATCTTCAGTTTAGTTTAGTTAAGTTCAGTTCTTCTTGGCCAAAACAAAAACCCCTGTTGGTAGTGTCACTACCAAACTTGGCCCTCGTCATCTTCACCGCTGAAATATTCACTACAAATCAAATCCACCCTACAAGCAAGCCTGTGGTTGAAATATGGAAGCTGGATCCAGCCTGCGGGAGCTGATAACTGCTACCACCTGAAAGCAATAATGACACAGAAGGCAAGGACCAAAACCACTCTACACATAGAAAAAGTAATGTGTACATTATTTCCTCATAAATACATCAACACTAATTTGTCTTTCACTTTACTTACTTTTGGGAAGGGTGTTTACGTCATATATTATTCATGTCAAATTCATGTGCACATTTAAGTAAATTCAATGCCTTATTTTTCCAGCCCTAGACAGGGGACCTAGAAAGGAATATACAGGCTGCACATTTACAACAATTTAAGTTTGCCCATGAACAACCAGTAGTACAGTTTTGCATTGAAACCTAAATAAATATGTTATCTAGCAGATCGGGTTGATTTTCCAGCCAGCTGTGAGTATGCACTGCTTCTATATTAACTGTCTATTATTGTACTCCATGCACAACTCCCAGCTGCCCATCCCACTGGTCTTCTTCTCTAATGATAACAAATGATTACGATAAAATTGTTATGAAGGAGACAGCAGGCTGTTACGTCTCTGGCCAGTATCAGTTTCCATGAGAGTTTTCCATCCTCCGAGTGCCTAACCATTACCCCGACAGTAAACATACTACATACATCTTCTTGATTATATTTTCAATATGACATGCGGGGAAAAACCAACAACAGTGCTGCAGTAGTGGACCATGGCCAAAAATAATGTTTTGCTTTAATACTGAGTTACAGGAATCGCTGTGATTTTCTTCCATTTTCTGCAAAGGCAATCAGTTCTGCAAAGGTGCGTTAACACCTCTAGGTCTTCAACAGAAATATTTACATTATAAGTGTGACTAATGGCTGAGCCTCTTTCTTACGTAAAAGTCAGGCCGTGAAACAATACTGAATTGTCATTTAAAGGCATTTGTTACGGAGCAAAGATCTTTTACTTTCTTGGTTAAAATGAATTAATTAAAAAACCTGGTCAAGACTCATTACACTCAATACATTACATGAAACTGTTTCCTGGACACCCAGTCAGCAGACAACAAGCAGCTTTAAAAGATTTATGATCCGAACTCAAACTCATTGTAGAGTTGGTAAAGAAAAGAAGAAAATACCACACTCAGTGTTGGGGTCCTGCATATTTTCCACTCACTAAGATCTACTGAAGTATACGTTGAGACTTGCTTTACCTAGAGGAGTCACATTCTTTCCCTTCACTGCACTAATTATTGAAGTCAGAACTTTGTTCCTCGCTTTTTGTCCTCAATTCTTAAGTCTTATCCCTCCTTTGAATGGACTAAGTTGGCTTTGATGTTAGTATATCAGCCGTAAAGACAGGAAGCACTATCTAAGATAATAGACACTTGGAGAGATGTAGGAATATTTTGAATTAAATCACATTTGAATAGTGTTACTTGGCAGACCTCAAATAAGCCTCACTGCACAATGAGAGTATAACCAAGAAGATAACACAGAGAGGAGCCGGACATACGAGCTCACAAAATGGTATAATCGAGTGTGTCATGGGAGAACTTTAATGAAGGGGGGTTAAGCCAACACTTTGTCCCTAATGGTGTATTAACTAATCTGTAATTAAATGAAATTAGGTTAATTATAACATACAAAGGCATGTTTGGCCTAGTCGAAGTAGTATAAATAACAACAAGCAGAATCACCATCAATGTATCATTATCCTCATTGTGATTTCTATTTTGTTAATTATTGTAGCTGAGTGATCGAGAAAGGGAAGAGTTCTCTCCTCAAGAACAAGCTGAAGGACATTTGTGTTTGAACAAGACGCTCCAGATTCAAAACAAAGAAAGGACTCAATGTGGAAACAAACACCAGCCTGTCGTTCTGCTGAACTCATCACCTCTCTGTTACTAGATGACTAATAAAAACCAAGGCCTTTGAGGTTCATGCAAAAACAAAGGCTATCGTAAAAATCTTAATAGAAATGTAGAACATAACAACTAGCCGGACTGTACATGAAATTAAGCCAGTCACATCACTACTGCTTCTAGACAAGCAAAGCAGGGCTTGGGAATGTGACTTTGGAGATCTGTCCGATTCCGTAGGTTTTCCCACTGTTTACACAACATTGCTGGCTCATTATCGTTCCCATCTACTGCGAGACACATTTAGTGGGCATAAAGAGACAGAAAGGTCAAGAAAGCTTGTTAAAAACAGGATGGGTTACTCTAAAATAGCTTTTATACTGTGCCCTACAAGGCTGCATTAACAGACCTTACTGCATAATGTAAAAAAAAGGGGCCACATTAACAATATAATATAGATGCACACAAATACAGTCATTACTCTCAGATAATTGCCTCACTAATTAACATGCTTTTGGCCTTTGCTAGCATTATTTAAACAGCCACTTTTTTTAATAGTAAAATGAACCAATACAAGAAGAAGCGCTAAATACTTATGCGGTGTTCTGTTGTGCAACATTACATCCCCCAGCCTCATAGGTTTCACAGAATTCATGATTTTATATTGTTTTCATGTTTTTGTTCAATGTTGTTTCACTACGGTACCCAGCATACAGTATGCAGATACATCGTATATCCACTGGGAATTCCTGTGTTGTCAACCAGTTTAATCCATCCCAAGGCAGAGTTGTCGTTTTGTTCTTCCCACCTTCCAAATACATGAGCAGAAGGGGGTTGTCCTAGATATTAAACTGGGCAGTCTCGATCTAGAGACCACTGTGGCACCAATCTAGGATGCAAGCAAGCATGTTTACAACAGACGTACTGATGGTTACTTTAAATAGACATGGAGTGTCTATTTAAAAAGAACACATCCAGGTTTACGCAAGCTGCGATATGATTCCATAAACGTTCACCTAATGATATTTTTCATGCTCCATCCATAGTATAGCCATTTACTGACATTTTCACCACTCAAATGAGTTGGACATCCACACACATTTTCAGCTGAAAGAGAACATTCAAATGCCTCTTCCCACCGCATAAACGTCACTTACTTCAGCATTGTTAAGCATTTGCTGGATCCCAGATTGTATCTGCTGTATTAATGCATTCACATGCAAACACAGAGGGCCCTAATGTGTCTGTGGTTAATGCACCCAGATTAGTCATGTGAGATGTCACGTCACTCTTTCCAACCCTGACAGTTTCAGGAGTAATGGCGGAAACAAAGAGCACGACTTTAAAGCAGCAAACAGCAACCTGCATCTGTTTTCATTTAAGAGGAAGTGAACTTTTAGAACAGCCCCTTTACATAAGCGTCCCCGTATGACCAGATTTGTCAAGTTTAGAAACAGTCCCACTGGGCGTCTGAGAAAAAGCCTGAGGAGTTTGTAAGATGCTAATTCTTACTCTCAGATGACATTTTGTTGCAAATTTTAGTGCACAATTTCTGTTCGTTTGCTAAGTTTAACATATTGGAAAAAAACAAAACAAAAAATGTGCCATAACTTTATGTTTTCTCCCCCCAATATGTTAAATTAAGCAAATAAACTGTAATTGTGTGTTACACTGTACAGAATGTGTAGAGGACGTGTTTACTTATTTTCACTTAGAAAATAAACAAAACAGTAATTTGACCAGTGATCCCCAAACTTAGCTGCCTCTATTGAACAGCGGCTTCAGGTTCTAATTTACAAGATATCATCCTGTCATAAATAATGCAAATGAGAAACTCTGCTTTTTTTCTGATCTGATTCTGAATGACCAATTTAGCTTTCAAACTGCTCTCTGAACACTTGATAAAATTATTTAGAGATATTGTATATTTAGAGATGTTATAGTTTTGTTCTCTTGATTTTTTTGTGATGAGTCTGAAAATAAATGTTGCAGAGCTCATGACATACTCAGTTTACTTTGACATCATCTTGCCTATTAATGACTATATGTGCAACATTCTAAAACATAACACTGGGCACAGACATGCCCTTTATGGTAATCATTAAGAGTGTACTATGTAGTTTTTTAATGATTATTTATTATGGCAATTATTACCACCAATTTCTTATATACAATACTGTTCAAAAGACAACCCTTCAGTTATTGAATTTCCAGTCAAAAAAGCCAGTAGGAAGCACAGGTTTTCATTTTTCAGGAGATATTTATGAGGAGATTAGATTCAAGATAATCCGGTTGCATAAGGAAAGGGGGAAGTCAGGAAAAGAAGTGAAAATCAGTTGTTTTCAAAACTGGAGTAAAAAAAAAGAGGAGTACTTAACGCTTTCATCTTATAGGAGATAGGAAATTATAGGAGACAATCAAGCTCTGCTCTTGCTTCAGATCTGAAAAAAATCCGCAGCTGTCAAGAAGCCGTTACTGAGAAAATGAAATAAACAACACAGACGTTACATTTTGAAGTTGAGGCTTCTGTATAATTTCCTGTAAAATATATTATATATTATTTTTTCTTTATATCACGTCTTCAGAAATATCACCTGGAACATGAATAACTTGTCCTTTATGGCCTTTTTGACTGGAAGTTATACAGGGAGATTCACTCGAAAGAGTGCGATGTGCTCCTCAGTATATGAAGCTTTGAACAAGCCAGGATGCCCCTGCGCCGGAGTGACGAGGTAGGCGCCGGACAGCCATTGCAACGTTTAACCTCCGTTTGCAACTTCCGGGTGCATACCCCCGTACCCCTTCACTCAGTCACTCGACTTCTCATCAGGATGGTGGTGTACAGTATACAGTATGAAAGGAGCATGGCAGAAATTAAGTCCTTCTTCGGCAACAGGGTAATTTCAAAGGGGCTTTGGCCACCACTGTCGCCGGATCTGACACCACCAGACTTCTTCCTTTGGGGTATGCTCAAAGGAAAAGTCTATCGGAACAAGTCTCGCACTGTGGAAGATTATAAGGAAAACATTCAACGTGAAATTGCTGCTATTCCCCCTGATATGCTTGCTGATATGTTCAGGAGCATGGAGCGCCACGTCCAAATGTGTCTGGCAGAAAACGGAGATCACTTCCAGCATCGCAAGTAATGTAATCAATTACACATACATCAAGGTATGTAGCGTATTTTTCTGGTTCAGATTGCTTCATCCTAACGGGAGTTACAACAGAATATTCGGGGCCTCTTTCTCCCAGTGGCTGCACTATGTAACATTTGGGGATCTGGACCTCTCTGGTGGAAATGTGTAACTGCACGCAGTGTGTGGATGAAGACTTTTTTGACATTGGTCGATGCTTCAGACTCCTATGAGGAGATGAGCCTGACGACTGTGAGCATGTTGAAAGAGTATTCAAAGAGAACTCGGTCACAACTTGCTGAAGGACGTGTCTTCTGAGGATGTGAGTGAATTATCCACTATTCTCATTATATCTTCATTAGTATGTTGATTTTGCATTTGAGACCTAAACATCGAGCCGGACCTTCTTTTTGAGCCTGTGCATGTGACGTTAATGAGTAAGATTGTAGAAGAAGTATGGCATTGTATGAAAAATTACCCCAAAATCTGACCCAACACCTCTGACTTTAAATTATTATTTCAGACTTTAGTGGACACACAGCAGTGCATGGACCCCATATTTTAGTCTGTTCTTTTTTCTCCGGAATCAATATCTTATATAATTTTTTTGCCCTCTGTTTTAGTCATGGCCAATTCCCACCTGCTACCCAGATCTCCCCCCCATCATGTGATGCTACCTAGCTAAGAGGGTAAGGGCTAGTAAGAGCTTCCTTCGATACATATAAAGACAGCCACCATGTCTTTTTTCCTATCTGCTGCATATACAGTCTTCTAACAGCTCTATATGCTTGGAGGAGAACGCTGACTGCCAATTCTGTTACACAGCTAACGGCCTGATTCGCTATTGAGCAACACCAAGCAGACTCCAATGTTCCTGAATTCTATGTCTGAGAAAATCACATGAAATCATGCAGTCAGACAAATGACTAGACTGTCCACTGATGTGTTCACTCCCATCTTGAGTCCTATCATAATCTAAATAAACAGCACAAACATCATCACAGTATAACATTTTGTCTCTATCTTGTATCCATAGTGAACAAGCTTGCTGGTCCTGCCTGCATCCATGTTGCTAAAAAAATAAAAAGCTACTAAATGGAAAAAAAAGGATAAAAACAGCTCCTTTAGCAAAAAGGAAACATGTGAAGCACTGTATAGCAGACAATTAACACATTAATGTTCACACATCATTACACTTAAGGATGACAGTCACTGTATCCTTAAAAATGGGAACAGCCATAAATATATCTATCACAAAGATCATCTAGACCGCAGCCTGTTATCAGTAAATAAATCTAATCTCACCAGTTCAGGCATTCAGGGACAGCTGAGAGGTACATCAAGCGAAATCTCCTTTCATCTAGCAGCCTTCTGTAATGCCTTTAACCGTTTAATAGTGTACTGGGTATTGTGATGTTGTAACCACACTTGAGTAATGCAGCACCCACACAGGAGTAGTTACCTTCACAGTCAGCCTTGCTTAACCTCAGTCTGCTTTTTTTTTTTTCCTCGCTCACTCTCTCTCTTAACTAGGTCACAGGCTGCACCGGGCATTCTGATTCACTGGGACTTCCACAGCAGTTGTAAATGGCACATACGGTAACCAATCACAGCTCTTCGTGTACACGCAAGCCGATTAAATCAGCATCCAGCCCACCTTAAGTGTCCCAATGAGGAATGCAGATACTCAGAGGTGGAAGCTGATTTGTCAGGACAGCCCTAAGCACAAGCCCTCTGGCGTAGGTCAAATGAAAGTGGTGTCTAGTAGGATGATTCCAACTTCTAAAGACACAAGACAGCTCAAAGCTGAAATGCACACTTGCTGAAGCCCATGACTGGAAAACATCCAGTAATTATGCCTGTAAATCCTGGTCGTTACAACTAGGAAAAGACTGAATTTTTAATGCGAGTGGATAAATCTACAGGCTAAATTAAAATGCACACAATCAGCCCTACAAAGGAAAGTTAGCTATCTTACCTAAACATTCCCAATGAATGGGAGTCATCAAAACATATATATATATATATATATATATATATATATATATTAACCTGCATGTAACTCCTTACACTTATATCTGCCAGTATACAGTGCCATACTCCTATCCAAATTAGACAGAGTGGGATGCCAACAAGCTGGAACTGGAAACTTGTAGGTGGTGCTGCATACTCCTGGGAAGAAAAAAACTTCCTGGAATGATTAAAACCAATGTAGATTTTGCATTTGGGATGACCCATCAATCCTGTTAAATATGTTCGTTGCTACCCCGTCTGACTGACCACCTGTGCTTCCATCGAAACTGTGTGGGAGCCATGTTGAGAGGCATCCAGGTGCTCTGTACCTCAGTCCAGCTTTACCATCCACACCATGGCTTTAGCACCACAATCATGTTCAAAGATGATGAACCGTAGGATAGTATATATTAAATGTGGCAAGAGCCTCACATACACACTTAAAAAGACTGTTCTTTAAGGGTTCTTTAGTAAAGACAGTGGTTCTATATAGAATGATGGACATTTGCTGCTTTGCATGGTGAACTGGTTCTTTATATATAACACGTTCCCCATCAATCTGAAGAACAATTTCACCAGGCCAAGCATGCAAATGGCTCTGAGTGTTCATGGTTCTATATAAAGCTACGGTCTTACTAAAGAACCACTGAAGAACCATCTTTTTAAGAGTGTATGAAGCTTTGGGGATGTTCTTAAGTGCTATAAAATGGCATACTTACTGCATCATACGACATTACCATCCACTATCTCACTATTTTCCAGAGCCAAGCAAGGCTCTCCACGATGAAGAGGTTACAGAAAAGCATCCAGCTGCTCTGGACAGCCTGCTAATCACCCAGCGCCTCACTGCGTGACCACAGGACTCCTCATTTCAGTTCGTGGCGAGCTGAGAGCAGCACGCCATATCTGTACTGGGCTGACAGGCAAACTTGAAGGCCACAGAAAGCGACAGAACTGCTACAGACTAACGAAGAAAACGCATCGTGAGCGACCTCCATTCCAGCGAGGACAATCTGAATGTCCTCTCTGAGAGGTGATTAAACACGCAGCGGTCTAATGTTTAACACAGTCCGCCGCGCCATCCTTTCCTCTCCTTCCTTCCAAGATGTCCTCGTTTTATAGGTTCAGGAAACGAGTGGAAATCGACAGCTGCTCGTTCTGATAAAAAACGACAATAGGCTCATTTATATTTAGCTGCACTATGAGTCCCACAGTCCCCTCTGTTTTCCTCCTGTAGTCTCAGTACCGTGTTCACGGCAGCACTAACCAGTCT